ACTTAAAGTTGCCAAGGTTGAGACAGATTGTTCTAGGGCAATGTCTCTTGAGATTAATATGTATGTATGCATGCATGCATGTATAAAAATAGAATAAAAATAGGATCTGGTTCAAATAAGCAGCTTTTGAAGTGGCACAATCTCCTCATAAAATAGTGCCAGTGCATAATATATAGAGTGGAGGTGTTTCTCTAAAAGCTTTAACAAGCCACAGTGTCTATGAAGTGAAAAACCAGTGCACTGGGGAGAAAGCTTTTCTTAACGTGCAAGGCTTGCTTGCAGGGAGATTTTTAATGGGGTTTCTTTTGAGAAGCAATTGCTATGAGTGTATTCTGAGCAGCTACAATCCTGGGAGAACCAAAAGCTGCATATGTGAATTTTAAATTCCAGATCGATAAAGGCAGATGATTTCTTAACCCCACTGAAGTGTTGCAAAATATTTGTAAGCCTCTGATTTTCCAAGAACTTTTCATTAAAGTTTGAAAAAATGTAACTGATATTAGAGTCATATTGACAAGGTAACATTTATAAATTATTATTATTCTTTACTCATGTAGATGGGCCTTATGAGTTACAAAGATGATGCTGGTTTGTAACAGCTTTCCCAACATTTTCAGACAAAAGTAACCAAAAACCAAACAGGATTAGTCTTATTTCTGTATCATTCAGATTGTTTTTCATTTGGGCACCAGGAATTGTTTCTACAGCAGATCCAAAAATACATTGCAGCTAGGTATATAGCAGAATTCTATCAGGTGAAAACCATGCAAATTAAATAGGGTCAGAAATGCAAAACATGAGCTAAAATGTTTTGTGTTTGCTAAATTCTGTATTAGCGCTTTAACACAGTGGGATTGTCACTTCCTTGCATTTCTGTACCCAGTTTAATGTTCCTGGATTAATTAATTAAGTGTGTGTGTGTGTGTGTGTGTGTGGAGTATTTTTCTGTTTCTCCATAGTGGAGCAATATCTCTGTAGCTACCAAGATTGTTTTAGGGGTGCATTTATGAATACCGTGTGCACTATTAATAGCCCATTACAATCCTCCTCCTGCTTTATTAATTGTTACTTGTTATGTATGCTGTTTCCTTCGGCATTCTTTCTTTGGCAGCCTAACCACGCTCCTTTCCTTTTACCTCTGCTGTTCTTGTGTGTTGTGAATTTGACATCCAAATTAAATGTTTGTGGATTAGTGGCATTCTACTTGAATTACCAAGATGCCAGCAAGTTTCCTGTTGCAGCCTCCCAATGCAGATTTTGCAGACTTTTTCACAGACTCCTCCTTACTTCATAGGGCCGTTCAAAATCACAGTATGAATGTTTGGGACAAAAGGCCCCACTTATCCAACTGCTTTCTTTTCCCTGACAACACCTCAGCATGTCTCCTTGCAGAAAATTGTCCTCAGCTCTTTGGAACATGAATTGTGCCACCCCAGGGATTAATGCTGGCTCTTGTTTGCCCACAGTGCCAGTTGCCACCTACATTCAGATATTTTGAGAACCGTTAGTTATGTCAAAGTTAAAGCTGACTATTAGGTGAATTTTCACCTATGAAACGAAGTATCACCTTGCTAGTACAGAGGCCCAAGTTGCACGCATGCATACGGTTTTGTGCTGACTTTCCAGAAGATGCGGCTTTACATTTGACCCCTTGTTTTTACACTGTCTAACCTGTTTGTCAAAACCACTCGCACCACTGACAGTTTACATACGGTGGTTTGATTTCAGAGGGTTGTTTTTATCATTTATGTGCCTTATTTTGACAATAATTTTTTTTTCCAATGGATTTTTATTCCTCCATGTGGAAAAAAAAAAAGGCATTCCTGTATGTAAAATGACTGAATGTTTAAAAGCTTCTCTTTTCTCTAGAGGTGACAGTCATTTCTGCAGGCAACAAGAAGCCCTCTATTCAATAGACCAATCAGCGCAGCCTCCAGAACGGGTATTTCAGCTAGTCGATAAAGTCAGTCCCGCTGTGTTCTGCCTTCAGACCACCAACTGTAAGTAGAGCGAGTTGAAGCCTTTTGGTTGGTGATAGTGAGGTGGGGGTGGTGGTCTGGGCATTCTGGGTATGCACTCCTGTTCAGATACACTTGCCTGTGAATCTGCCCCTCTAAAGGATTGTCCTTGCCAGGAGGGGCATAATTTTTCTTCCAACCTGAGTTCCATGGCTATCCGTGCTTGCTGTTGAAACTATCTACACCTTGTTCTTGATCAACTTTCAGCTTTTTTCCATATGATCTCAACACAGGAATCACAGGACGTGCAGTGGACATCTAGTTCCACCATGCCACGATGGAGTGTGATGTACTAAACTTTTCCACATTATTTTTTGCAGATAAAGCTGGCCTGTCCTTCCAAGCTCCAGAAATACCCACTCTGCATAATTTTGATAGGTTGCTTCAAGAATTTAACAGGGGTACCTTTGCTACTGAAAATGATCTCGCGCTGGAAGCTGAATCAGAGACCCAGCATGAGGCTAATGCAAATGACACCAGCAGATACAAAGTAAAGAGACCCTCTTGCCCATTCTATCTCTTGTTTTCTAGAAGCCACATTAAACTTTGTGTATGGGACATATATAGTGCCATTAGATGTTTGCCTAAGCATTTCCCACAACCTGATACTCTCCCAGCATCTGGTTGGAGAAGGCTGAGTAAAAGCCTCCCAGTGATGAACAATGACTGTATGTCTTCTTACTGGTAGAAAATGAAGCTTGTGTTTTTCTGTTGACAGTTTAAGGATCTCATTCAGACCTCCAACGGCTTTCTGAGGCTTCCTGCTCCACTTTTCTCCCAATGTGCTCATGGTAACCCTGCAGGTCAGAGAACACCCTCTTCCTTCTGGAGCTACTTCAGTGTTGTAGTTTGGGGATGGGGGCTCTGAACAATGTCCCATTTTGTTCTGATTTTTGAGATGATTGTGTCTGTCACAGCAGGCTCCACTTCATTAGTCATCTCTCTTTCCTGAAAGAAACCCAACAGGCCGCTCCTCTAAAGTGTTTTGCTTGGCTTCATAATTTTTAGAAGGACATATGTTTCTAAGACTTCAAGGCCAGTTCTGTACAAGCTTTGAAACAGGAACCTGAATCTTTGCATCCTTACTGGATGTGGATAAAACACAAACATGAAGAAACAAAGAGGGTGAGGAGATAGGGACTTCTCTGAGTTGCAGGCAGAGCACAAGCTTTGTGTGAAGAAGGTCCTAGGTTTGATTAACTATACTTGCATTTCATCTCTGGCTCAAGCCCTGGAGAGCAGTTGCCATCCAGTTAGTGTCCTTCTTGCAAGTATAGCAACCATCATCCTCAGCTAGATGGGGCTATAGTCTGATACCAGGGAGGGAAGTTTTGATGAGACAATCCTAAACGAGGCTTCCTTTATCATGTTGTAATCTGGATTTATCTGAGCTTCCTTTGGTGCTCCTGGAGCCAAACAGTAGAACATTTTCTAAGTTAAAAAAAGGGGGGGCATATATGTACATTAACTTCAGACACACGGATAACATGTTCAGAGAGTTGTAGAAAAGGCTGCTTGTTGCAACGTAGCCCAGTCCAAACTAGACATTCCAGGGCTTTTGATTTAACCCCTAATATGGATCTCTGCACTTGCCAAACTGAAGATTTCCTTCTGAGTCCTGGGCTTTGCTGCTTTCTTCAGGCTTCTTAATGAACCAGGCTGAGAAGTGCAACACGGTGATCAAGATGGATGAATGCACCACCTTTCCCGAATTCAGCATGCAATTTTACACCAATTTTAGCATTTTGGTGGTAAGTGCTTGTTTTGGGAGCTGTCAGAACACACAAAACAAATTGATGGATGGGGCACGCAGTCAGAACGGCTGGTTTGTTTTTCATTCAGAAATGAGTTTTCTGGCACAAACGCTAAGAGGTTAGGATAAGGCTGTACAATACGTGGCAATGCTTTGCCTGAAATATGACTTCTTTTTCTATTCCCATTAGGTACCAAATTCAAGGCAAACAGTAAGTTTAATTTTAATTCCCACTTTGAGCAATTTCTGATGGATCTGTAGGCAGATTGTGCTTAATGGCACAGTCATCTGCAACTCTCCCACTATAATTAAGAAATAACGGGGCTGTTATCTCTAGGTTGATATTCCACGTGACATTTCTATTTTAGTGGATGGATTTTGGAACTGTTACAAACCCAAATCGCTCTTCCTGAAGGCAGCAGGCGCAGGCAAAAAGAGGCATCCACGGGGTGCATAGGAGAAAGATGCGTCGGGCATTTCTCTGCTGCTTTTGCTTTCTTGGGGAAAATGGAAACTTACTGCACCTATATATGATCTTATGTAAGATTTTTCTTACAGTGCATATTGAGTAAAATCTTACCTTAAAACATTTCACCCATTCCAGAACAGAAAATACTTCCTAAGAGAGGTTTTTTAAGGGGGTATGTCAATTTTTCCTTGAAAAACTGTCCATTACAGAGATAAGGGAGATTTTTTTTTCTTCCAGATAACTTTCCCTGTTCTTTCCTGGGGCCCTCATGTCACTAGTGTGTGTGTCTGGCTGGATTCATGCATTATGTTAAGCCATGGTTTAGCAGTTTGAATAAACCACACCCTAGGTCTAAACCACCAACCCTAATGCGTGAATCCTGCCTGTGTGTGCCTGGGCTTGCCTGCACCAGTGATCACTGTCCCCTCAGCTGCAATAAAGATGCTGTTGTCACTCATTGATCTTTCAGGTTAATGTCACCGTCCAGTCCATCACAATTCAGACACCGGAGGGGCTGTGCACTCGCCTGGCCACTACAGATGTTGTGTTGCTCCCTGCATTAAATAATCAGTCATGCAGCAATGTGGTTCTTGAGGTAGGCAGTATTCCATTTTTTTTTGCCTCAGCATTTCATGCAGGGACAAAAGACTTTTGCACTTAATTCCAGAAAAAATTTCTGGAATTGTGCCTTCATTATCTCTTAATGCACTGTGCTAAGCCAAGGTTTGTTAACCGTGGATGGTTTATGAATTATCCAGGGTTGGCTGAGCCTAGCCAAAAGATTTGTAGCAGCCTGTAGTTTGAAAAGTACCATAACAATATAAAGAAAGGGCATTTTCGTTTTGCTTGATTTGTGGCGCCTGCCCTCTGGAATCTGGTCCTCCCCGAGATCTGGCCAGCTTCCATCCTGATGGCGTTTCAGGAGGCCTTAAAGACTTGGCTCTTCTCCCAGGCTCTGGGCCAGGGTAGCGGGAGCATCATGCCAGGTGTCTGATGTGTTTTTGTTTTGCTGACCAGGTTCACCATCTTGTTTCATGTTTTTATTCCTATTAGAGATTTGGTATAGATTTGGTTTTTATATTGTGAGCCACCCAGAGTAAATTTGGAGTCGGGTGGCACCTGTCGAACAAATTAAAACAAATTATACTTGCTTTTCAGGCAGACTACCTCATTACCTTTACAGAGGCGGGTGAAATCGTAGGGGCAGCCGTCTTGCTGGTTCTGGGGACAGTTAATCTAACCACAATTTTTGTGCAGCAGACCTTTGCCATCCATTTCATACAGGTAACTTCTCAAGTATGTTAATGATTTTTTACAAAATAAATATTGAGTCTCCCCCAAGGAATTGGAAGCCTCATTGGAAGAAGGTATTTCTCAAAAGGAGGGGGAAGTGTCAAAGATTTGTATTTAAACTTCAGCTGAGCGCGCTGCCCCAGCTCCGATGTTTTTCAGTAGCTGTCTCTCTTCTGCAGGCCATTGAAATAATAATAGCTACTTAATAAGGCAATACGTATTTTGCTAAGGGATGATTATATATGTGGCTTTGTATTCAAAACAAACAATGAAAAGAAAAATCAGTAAACTTCAAATGTTATATTTTTCACTTTTTTTTAACAGCAAGACACTCAGCCTGTTCCCCTCAGCGGAAGCCCAGGTTATGTGGCTGGATTACCAATAAAGGCTGGATTTAGGTCAGGTGGATATCCTTTTTTCCCTCCATTACTGAAGCAAAATTCTCTCTGGAAACTGGGTGCCTTCCTAGTGGCTGTCTGAGGCAGGTCTCTGACTGTATTTCCTACCCTTTATTTCTCAATTCTTGAATGGTTCCAGAGCATAACTGGAGAAGAAAAGTTTTGGTTTCTTCCATCTGCTGGGTGACAGAAACTGAGATAGTGCATCATCCTAGGAACTGTCACTTTTAATTAGAAAAGTTGCAGAAAGAGCAGTTCAGAAAAATATCAAAGCAATGGCAAATCTGGTTACTAGATTTATAGTTAGAACAACTCGTGAGGTTCAAAATGTAAGGCATTTTGCAGGGAAAAAAAATAGCCTACAGACACATTTTAGGTGGCCAAATCTTGGCTCCTCCCCTTTTTTGGAGCTTGCCACCTCCCTTGGCAGCCCACTGGGTTGCAGGAAGCTGCATCACATTCCACCCCATTCCAGCTCACCTGGATTTGGAAAGGCTATCTGAATATGCCAAGGCAGCAGCTGAAAAGTGTGTGATTGGCTGTTTGCTCCAGCATTAGAAACAAGGTGGAGGTTTGCCTTGACATTTTGGTCTCCCTGCATTCAGCACTGAGGGCATTGTTGTCCCAGAGACTTTTCATCCTGGAACTGAATTCAGTCCCTGGAATCTCCAGGTAGATGACCAAGTAGCTGGAGACATGAGGCTGGGCTCACACTTCAGGCTAAGGCATTGTTTGGAACTGGTTCTGCCACTTGTTGTATCAGCTCTGCCATGTTTGTGAGCCACAATTTATGATTGCCTGTATTATGCAAATCCAACTAATTGTGGCTAATTCAGTAATCTGTGATTAAAGAAACCACAGCTTAGTGCAACACACAAGCCCAGCCGCTGCATCAAGGCTATGTTTTTCCTTCACTCGCTGCATTTACCTCTGGAGTCATTCAGAACTTGAACGAAGGAAGCCAGCTGACCATGATGAAAAGCACCACAGCTCAGGATTGTTTCCGTGTGGAAGGGAGCCGAACCCCAGTATTGTTTGGGTACAATATGATGTCTGGATGCAAAGTGCGGTAAGGCGTAAGCCAGCTGTTTTTCTGACACGTGGTCTTCCCTCCTTGCATGCTGCAGCAGCCCTTAAAAACATTCTAAGTAGCAAGATGCCCACATTTCTGGAGCTTTGGGGACTGCTGGTTTGGTTTTCTAGCCCAGCTTTTCCTGACCTGCTGCCTTCTAGATGTGCTGGACTACAGTTCCCATCACCCCCAGAGCAGCATGGCTAAAGTGTAATGGGATGTCTGAGGGACCCTGAGGAAGGAGGGCTGAGGAAGTGTCTGAAAGAGAGTAACCCTGCCTTAGTTATGCTCGGTATAAGTTGATCTGGAGGATGGCTTTGACAGGCTTTCAAGGTTCTGTTACATTACCCTAGGAGCAATAAAGATCTTTTCAGAAGTCCAAGTGGCTCTTGTGTCCTGGGATTGAACATAATCCCACTTGCAGGGCCTGGCACAAGGCAACACAGCCTAGTTTAGCTTTTCCACAGGCAGATTTATGTCAATTTATGGAGGCATCCACAACAGGGTTGCTGACAACGGTTTTCTTTCCTGAAGAATTACCGACAGTGCTGACTGTACGCTTCTGGCTCCAGATATCCTAAGAGTGTTGAAGGGCCAAAATTTTCCAGACTGCGTGGCCTCTTTTGGAGATTCCCTGCCTCAGAACGGACTGGACTGGGTCCAAATCTCTTACAATTCCACCAGACCGGTAAGACGACAGACAACCTGGCTAACTTCTGTGTGGATGTTTTCTTTGCTCCAAGAACTGTCCTGGAAGAGAAACTCTCTCCCAAGATTACTTTGGGATATGTAAATTATGCCTATGTAAGCTAAGTAAAAAAAAAAAATTCCAGAACACAGCACAGAAAGGTGCTTGGAATTTACTGATGGCCCAGAGGGATTTGGGTTCAGCTTTCATTCTTATCTAAGAATGTATCCGTCCCCCTGCTGACTCAAATGCTCCAAGTCCTCCATTTATGGGACAAAGTGCGGCAGTCAACATCCTGCAGGCTTCAAGATGCTTAGCCAGGTTAGAGGGGGCCGATACCTCTGCAACCGTAACAATGATCACTGGGGCAGCTGGAAGAAGTCCAGCCAGCTCTTCCTCATCGAAAGCGGGGCTTGTAACTGACCAATGTCGCTATCTTTTTCAGACCACCTGTGAAATTCCAGTGTCCTTTGAAATGGAAGTTAAGTGGACTAAATACGGGTCCTTGGTCAACCCCCAGGCTAAAATTGAGCGCTTAACGGTGCTAATAACAACTGCTGCCTTACCCAAGGTGGGTGGTGATCTTCTGCAACAGGAGGGAAAGGAACAACACTTAGAGCTTATTTTTAACTTGGCTTACTCATTCTGTGCTTGTAAGGTACCGTGGGTGTGTGCTAGACATCCGCCTGACAAAACTGGCTTTCTCTTCTTGAAAGGGCAATCTTGGCGCCTTGCAGCACCACATTGGAGGCTTCTTTGTGGCTTGTGCTTTAGTCCCGAAAGAGGCACAGAGCTGAATGCGACCAGCAAGCTTTGCCCAAAAGCTCTACGTGCAGCCAAGGGCTTCCCAGGGAAACTGGCCAGGCGTTCCTGTTCTTCTGCTGTAATGAAAGCTCTTTATAAAAAAAAACCCATTCATACAATGGTTCTCACAAAATATTTCTAAAGTCAGATTTAATAAAAGCCTGAAGTCAGTCTGGGGTCTAGAATAGAGAGGAGGAGAAAGTGAATAAGGCTGGGTTAGTATTTGTGGCTTCTGACCATCAGTGAAGCCAGCAATCCTCCTTGTTTTATAAACCAAGATTTGTGGCTTAGTGCTCTTCATGAACAGAGTTGGAAGAGGTCCCTTAGGCCATCCAATCTCACCTCCTGCTCAGACAAAAACTTAAAGCACCCCTGACAATTGGCTATCATAATTGTGCTTGACTGCATTCACCTATTGTCTGGATGTTTTTTCTAACATTTAGTTGGAATCGGTTTTCCTGTATCTTAAATCCATTATTCTATGACTAGAGGCCTTCTGGGCAGCATCTGCTCAGGTATTTGAAGAATATATCTTCTAGTCTTCTCTTTTTGAAGCTAGAGTTTCCCAGTTCATAGGACTTAGCTTTTTAATCCCCCAATTATCTTCACTGCCCTTCTCTGAATGTTGTCCAGAATTAGTTTAGTGCAGGCAGGCATCATAGTATTTCACATCTGGATGCAGCTTCAATTTTGCAGATAGGCCTTCTATACCTGTAGAAGCTTTCACTTGGGCGACCTCCCACTGCTAAACTTGATATCCGGAAGCAAAAGGCTTTTGTGCTGCACTCCCACAGCAGCCGTACTCAAGTCCTGACTTCAGTCTCTTTTGCTCTTGGTTGACTATTGGTCTATTGGTCTATCATCTGCCTCAGCATATTTTTAAAGTCCTTTGGCTAGCATTGCCTAGATCAGCATTTCTCAACCTCTGCAACTTTAACGTGTGTGGACTCCAATGCCCAGAATTCCCATGCTGGCTGGGGAATTCTGGGCATTGAAGTCCACACATCTTAAAGTTGCAGAGGTTGAGAAACACTGGTCTAGATCATGTTCCAAAGTAAAATGTTTCTTTTGTCTGGGGGGAAGTGATAGCCTGATTCTCTCTCTCTCTCTTTTTTGCAGGTCGATTCAGGAAGTGAACGCATCCTCCAGATCCTCAGCTCGGTTTCGTTTGTCGACATCTCTGCCCCTGCGCAGCCAGGATACAAAGCTTGGCCAACCATCGAGGCCAACTTGCCCTTTGATTTTTTCTTTCCTTTTGTTTAAAACTACATGCAGAGTCACAGGATCTCAGCTTCATGTTTTAAAGTGGGAACTTTTCTTCAAATCTACACTGAAGTTGAAAACAGATGTTGCATAAAAGCGAGCAGGTGCCAAGATTGTTTCTGCCCGCACTCCTGCCAGCATCAACTTCAGGAGGACAGCTGGAATTAAGGTGGGCCTTGGCAGAGTTGGGTTGAAGATCTTGCTGCAAGTTCATAAATATGGACAGAGGCATGGATTCTACCATATGCTCTCATGCAAGAGAGCCACACAGACTGGGAAGGCTTAAGAGTTGAAATCCAATGTGTTTGGCAGGCCCCAGATTGGGAAAGGCAGCCTGCCACCTCCAGAGTCCAGTATGATGGGGTCTTCCGGAAGTTAAGACACAACAGTTAACAGTGCCAATATGTCCAATGCTCAAAGGAGGGAGCAAGGGGAAAAAAAGTAGCAACCAAAATTCTGAAAGCGGGGGAGTCTGGAGAAAGATACTGCCCTTATACATTAGAAACCTCTTCTGGCTGTTACAGTTGTAGCTTTTGTGAATTAACGGAGATCGCCTTCTGAATATGGATTTGGATTTATTAAATTATTTCTGCTAGTCTTTTGAAACTGTACAGCTGTACAAGAAAGCGTGGAGCAATTCATTTTATAATGTTGGAGCTGTTCTACAACTCTGGGTCTCCAAAAGAGATCTAGGGCAGCCTAGTCCCAGCTGGGTGTCCTCCAACCCCCCTCCAAGCATGACTAGGAGGATAGGGGGAGGCAAAGTCCACTATATCTGAAGGGCATCAGCTTCAGAGGAGAGCAGCCCGTGCTGATAAATGCGCCAAAGGATATTTTCACAATGTCACCCTGTAAACATAAAGTAGCTTCTCAGGGCCAGAACTGAATCCAGGGAAGAGATTGTCCACCGTAGGTCCAAGCCAGGCATCTTATTTGGACTGGCTGAGTAGTCCATGTTGCTTCAAAAGACCATTCAGCCTTTCAATTTCTATTTCCTGTTAGAGAAAAAGAAGTGAGGTAATTTCCCATGTCACTCAGTCCTTGATCCACATCTTCATCAACAGCCCCTTCCCATTTGGGGGGACAAAGCAGGTGAAGAGGAGAATGAAAGTGGAATTAAGAAGCTCTGAGGGAAGCCTAAGATCAGTTCTCTCTTAATTATCAAATAAAAATAATGACAACTGAATTCCCAGCTATCACTATTCATTTTTTTACCTTTCATTTGCTCCTGGCTACATTTTATATTTCATGGAAAAAATTAAGGCTTCCAGGCCATTCCAAGAGGCAGTGCAGTCGAAGCCATGCCACTAAATTGGAATAAATTTAGTTGTAGCTAGCATAGAAGCCCCTGTTGTTTCAGCTGCGTCCATAGCCAGATCCAGGGAAGTCCTCTGGAAGGGAATGAAAAACCTCACCTTCTCTGCACAGCTGCTTTCCAGGTGCTGGACTTTGACACTAAGCTGCAAATTGGCTTGCTTCAGTTTGGAGATCTGCTGCTCTGAGCGGGTCTTCACTGACAAGATGATTCCTGCAGATGGAATCGAAGGACAGAACATTCACAAAACTATCTGCCATTCACAAAACTATCTGCCATTCACAAAACTATCTGCCATGCCTGAGGACCACTTATAAATTAGCATCACAAGATATTTAGAGCAAACATCTTGCTAAGGAAGTCATTACAGAAAAGGGAATGGCGGGCTGGAATTGTATAAACCTTAACAAACCCAGAGGCTAACTCAAAACTTTCTAGTTCTTTTATCGGTTCTCAAAAAGATTCAGGGGTCTCCCTTGGGATCTGGATTCTGAAAGCCTACTCATTTAACCAACAGGCTTTGGCAAAGTAATGGGCATTATGTAAAGACAGCCCTGGTAGACTTGAGAAAAGAAGGGAGTGCAGAAAGAGAAGATTCATGGGGATGAAAACATCCAGGACCAGGTGGTCCAGGAGCTGTGCAGCATTGGCAGAAAGGCTTGGTCTTTAGGTCAGGGAGCCAAGAGTGCAGCAAACCCCAAAAGAGATAAAGGAGGAGGAAGCTGTCCCATTAAAGCACCTCTTTTGATAATTCTTGGACAACCAATACACTATTCTTGAGCACTGAACAATTGAATTCCTAAAGGCACCCTTAAAATCTGTCCTGTTTTCAAGACTTACCATTGATAATCCTGGCCACTCGCCACAGCCTGAGCAGAATCAGCAGTCCGAGAGCTTCAAACTCATGCTCCCGGAAGAGAACAACAATGTCGAGGATGAAGGAGACAACCACCACGATGGCGTCCAAGACTTCAAACTTGTGGTGGAAGAACTCCAGGCGGTAGGCAAAGAGCTTGAAGCTGACTTCCACCAGAAAGAGGGTTAGAATGGAAAGGCTCAGGTAGTGAAAGACCTGGGAAGCACAGAAGCGGCAACAGGAATGTGAAAAAGCTACAAATGGCACAACAGGGAGTCTGGGGTGGCATGAGGCATGAGACCAAAGGAACACATGTGCCCTTTACCATTATTATTATTATTGGCCTCGTTCAGGAAGACGTAGTTCACCGTATAAGCACATAAAGCATTTCAGTATTTGTCCAATCCAAGTTTTTGCACCCTTATAACTTGGTCTACAGTTCGACAATTACTCCCTACTTTGCCAAGTTTGTCTTCTGATTCTACAGGAGGGGAAAAGTACACATAAACCACAGTTGCCCCAACCAGTGAAAAATCTTCAATCATCTGTTCTCTTAGGTTTCAGCAGATTCATTCAAGCTTATCTTTGCATCGAGGATTAAAAATCCGCTGTCTTTTTATTTAAACAACGCAGGTGTTCGAGACACTGGATGGGACTCCCACCACAAACCTTCTGAATGATCAGAAGACACCCACTGCCCAGAGATTCTCCTCTGTTCCCATTTTCACCTTTGGTGCAATCTCATCTTTGTCAGGATGGATGATTTTCAGATCCAAAAGCAGTTCCCCAAGGACCAGCACAGCATCCAAGATAACCAGGCAGACCACCAAGATCTGGGATGAAAGGGGAAAGCATTAGGGTAAAAATGATACGATGTTCTTGTAAATCAATCAGCAGATCTTGAGGTCATCTCCCATAGATATTAGCAGTGAATATAACCAAAGTACAGCAAATAAGTGCAGGGGAAGGGGAGAACAATTAGGACTATCTCCTTTTGCGCTTCCTATTGTCTTCCCAAAACAGTCAATGATGAAAAAACGAACAGCAGTAGTTAATGCATTGGGCTCCAGAATGGAAAACCAGGAGTGATAACTCTGTTTGAAACAAGATAACAAGTGTGTGCACACAACCGGGGAATGTCATAATTGACTTCCACAGTTTACTATATAAACCAGGACTGGCTAGGTTAGCTACAGCAGAAAGTGAATTATTTGGTTTTGGCAAAACACACGGTATAAACCATACCTGTGATTTGGATGCTACTTAACAAATTGTGCAGATCTAGTCAACCAAAGATTGTTCAACAACTCCTGGTTAAAACAAACTGGAACAACCCAGTGTGAGAACGGAATGAGAAGGTTGCATCCTGGTCTTCTGCTTGCGTGACCCAGAACTTAGGTAACAGAGCCCACTCGGAAGAGTCCCTACCTGAAACCTGTGGGATTGGAATAGCTTTTTCATAACATCTCTGAAGGTTGGAGCCCTGGGTGCTGACTCGACTTTAACGACAGCCTCTGGTGTCTTCCCTTCTCCTTCCTCTTCCGTCTCTTCTTCCTCCCATTTCTTGTAGTCGTTGTTCCACTGTGCAGGATCGTCTCCCACCACTGTGAAATGTTTCAGATACATCGACATGGTGGCTCCTCAAAAGTGCATCACCCCCTTGAGAACAGCTGCAGAAGTAGATCACAAGCCACCCTCATTAGTAAAGGCACAATCAATCACCTTCCTAGGAATACATCAATAAATTGCATTAATCTGTAATTTATTTCAATAGAATTTTGTATTAGAACAGTGAAACTTGCTTCTCTGTTGGCTTGAGCAACAGTCTCATGGCTATCATAAAGAATTACATATTCAGTCAAGAGCCATGCTGGCTTGGAGAAAATGGGAGTTGTTGTCCAGCACATCTGGAGGCTGTGGAAGCTGGATCACTTGCATGATGGAGGAAACTTTACTGAGCAGTCAATTTTGCACACCCAAGGTGAAAGGCCATAGGACCAACCAAGAAAACACGTCCGCCGAAGAGAAAGCCCGCAATTTCCTTGAGAGCTAACTCAAAATGTATCCCATTGTTTGGAGGCCCCCAGAAACCCACTTCTGTGGTTAGCCTTACATGGACTGACTTTTCAGACTGACTTTTCAAATAAGCAAGACAAACGCGTATTAAAGGGAGATTATATTCCTGATGTTCTCAAGCTGGACAGGTGAAAAAGAAAAGGAATCAGCTGGAAGTGATCCTTTAGTCTGCTGAGTCCAGATCCCTGCTCAATGCAGAAAACCAAATTTAAGGCCCCTCCCCAGCAGATAACAGTGCAGGCACTACTCCGCCCAGAATCATTGACAGTCAGGTGGCATTCGACTTTAATAAATCAAAACCATCCAGCACAAGAAAATGTAGCGCTTTCCTAATTTACTGTTCCACTCTTGAATCACTTTTCCTACTAGGAACATTCAATGTAGCATCAATTTGTTATTGAGAGTGGCTGCCACAGCATGTGATGAAAGCCCAGAAATTACGTTCCTTTAAAAGGGAGGGGGGGTTAAGAACCCAATCTCTCCCATGAGTGCTGCAAAGAGAAATAAGATACGGGGAGCCTTTTAGTGAAAAAATGCTGCCTTAATGCATACCTTTAAGAAGAGGAGAATTAGGATATTTAATGGCCACACAGGCAGCCAGCACTGACCCTCAGAGCACCCACAAGGCGTCTTCCCTCTTACCGTTTCTAAGCTCCCCTTCTCCGTGTGCAAAGTCTGTCTGCCTTCTACAAAAGGATCTCGACCAAAACGGTGGACCCAAAAGGCCGCCACAGGGAGGTCTGCCGTGCTAGAGAAACATTTGCCCGCTTGTAGGAAGGGCAAAAGGGAGAACAAAATAAGCCCGTGTTTCCTGTCTGGTTTATTTTGCATAAGACATTTCTGTTGCAATCCTTTCTGCTGATGAGGGTGAGCAAGCCCTTCATCGGGGAAAGCCCACCCTGATTAGTCAACAGCTGCGATTAGAACAGCAATCTCTCCGCGTGTTTGTTGTGGGTACAAGCCGTCGCTAGAACAATTTCTCCTTGTCCTTGGCTATGATGGAATCTAGGTGGTGGGTGAAGAAACCTTATGGAAAGCTTTTTCAAAAGGAAGACCCACATGGGAGGGGCAAGGACTTGCTCAATCTAGCCAAAAGTGCAACCGATCAGTTGTAGTGCAACCAAAGTGGACGCTGGGTGAGAGGACTAGTCGGCCCAGATGTTTGTTCTGTTTATGGTACCTTACTGATCAATACCAGTAAATACTGGTTTATGGTACTGCTTAAAATAACTTCCAGGTTATTTCAAGAACAGGTTTACATTGCTATGCAAGATCTCTAATCGAGATCAGGAATTACAACTTTCTTATCTATTCCCTTCACTGCCTAGAAGGGATTACAGTGAATATTGTCTAGCAACAAACATCCTCACTTCCCTTTAGGGGTGGGGGAAGAGTATAAGCTTTACAAAAGGAGCAAGGAATGCTCTTGAAATGCTCAAGGTTATTGCAAAACCGTAGCATGCCTTCAGAGCATTTGTCGTTATTGCTAGCCTTCTATTTTTAAGCATTAAGAAATGTGTCAATGTTTCTCCCATAACAAATCAGGTCCACAACTGCAAATTCTTCATTATTTCTTAATATAGTGCCCCCGCTCCTCCCTCTTCCATCGTCCTGAACTTGAATGCACTGGCTAAACCGATGGGCGGACACCAGGTTGGGGCAAGCTTACACAATCTGCAATCCTGTTGAACAATTTATAGTAACAGTTGTGTGAAAGAGAAAGCCGTTCAGAGCTCAGCCACGAAAATCAGAAATTTGCCTATTTATAGAAGCCAGCATTTAAAACAGACAGTCCCAATAAGGAAAGTAGGTTACTTGACTAACCCCAAAGTGGTTGGGTTCAAGCACCACACTAAGCCACTAACCATGAATTACAAATGTCAGTGGCTCCATTGACAGCTTGTGCTAAACTCAGAATAAAGTGTCTATTCCAGGAATAGGAATCTCCCATTAGTACTCTAAGCCCCGCAGAAGAAGAGGCATTTGGGGTTGGGGAATAGTTGAGGCAGGAGAACAGACCCAGTCCTCCCGAGCTTTAAAAAGCCCCTGTTTGGTTCACTTGTTTTTGGAAAGCTGTAGCATTTACACCACCCAAACTCGAAAGAAGGAAACTTTCTAGGCCTAAAGTGCTGACCGTTTCATCTGTCACATGTCTTGAAAACCTGGACTTCAATGCCACCTGGCAAACTGTCAGGTCTGGACTGACGCAGAAATCATAGCATCCCACAAACCATTTCTCAGCCATCTTCCTAGTCATCTGGGAAGAGGGGCAGAACTGCTCTACTCCCACAGCACTGAGGGGAGAGCCCAAGAAAGAGAGTGATCTGGTTTATATTCCATGCCGCCCCATAGTTTCTTTAACCATGATTTGCTGAATAAGCCACAATTGGCTGTCAAATCCAAGCAAACTGTGGTCAGATCAAACAACTGAGTTATTTAAGGCTTCCAGAATTCCCCGATTTTGGACTTTGAGCCAAATGCCAAGAGGCATCTTCCGTTTCTTGTAAGTCAACTCTCCCCACCCTGTTCAAAACACCTAGGAAACTCAGTGAAGCTTGTAGAAAAGTCTGCCTAGTTAAATATTCTCCGTCTTCCACTGAAACTGACACAAGGGATTTATTTACCTTTCTTGCAGTCAGTCCGGTCCTCCTTCAAGAAGACCTTTCACAACTTTAGGATCTAAAAGACCCCCCCCCCAACAACCTTCCCAACCTTTCTGCCCTACAGTGTTGCTTGCCCTCAAAACTGCCCCCATCCTCAACTGAAATGTCTCTGGCTTCCTTTATACTTTCAGCCATTTCCTGCTGCCCAGATCCACCCCCCCCTTTTTTTTGGCTCAACATATGATCAGCTCGCTTGATTTTATCAAACGGTGTGCATTGCCAAACATTCCAGTTTTGGGCAATACTGTTTGGTAGTTCTGCTAACATCCTGTTGGACTTCATTATATTAACATCTTTAAATAATCACCCAGCTTCTAAATTCTCTGGCCTTCAACTTCCTTTTCCTTTTTCTAGCGAAAAGCCCTTCCTTCTACCGTTAAAAGCTCAACCATTTTCTTATTTATTAATATTGAAAAAAGAAGTTCCTCTTTCTATAATTTGAGAAACAAGTGCTTAAGGTGTTTCATTTTACACTGCTTAGCCACTGCACTTATATGGCTTGAGCACAATTGTGTCAGTAACATGTCCTGAGTAACCCTGGGCACACACGTTGCTAGAAGCATTCATGGAGTCTGTTTGGTTTGGGATTAGCCAAATCCATCGTTATTAAACCAGGTTTATTACTGCGAGGCTTGTATGAAACTGGTGCAAGATGTTATTATTGAATAAGCCATAACTTGCTGGAATAACACAACATGCTGTCATAAACCATGACTCCCAAACCAGAAAGCTGGACTTGAACAACCCCGAATCCCAATATTCCACTGAGTATTAATAAGCCAAGCCACATGAAGCAGTACCAGCATAAACTTTTTTCCTTTGACTCTGCTCTGATTTCTTTCTCCAGAGTGCAAATCTCTTCCTACCGTGGTACAATCATCCAGCAGCATTAAATTTAAAGCACACAAAATCCCGTCACCCCCAGATGTTCCCCTGCCATCCCAGCCTCCCCTGACCTGGAGCCCCTTGAGAGAGCTCAAGCCCATCTTGAGGACCAGGTCAAATCAGCAGACTTCACCCGTAATTCCTTGAATAAAGCCCGGCTGGCTAGATTGGTTTAGTCTTTGTGGTTTTGAACCAAACAAACTACATTATGGGTTAGTGCAGTGCGTGAACTCAACTGGAGGCTAAACCAACTATGTTACGGGTTAGTGCACTCGCTCAACTGAAGCAAAATTCCCAAGTGAAATGGAACAGGTTAACTCTGAATGGGCATGAGGAAGGACCCCATCCTAGAAGCCCACTCTGCACACCGAACGGCCTTGGGCCTGTTTCAGGATGGATGCTCTCAAGACAGCTGGCCACCTTGGGCATCCTGGACCATGCCCGCCTTCTTCTAACTCAGACTGCCACCAACCCTTGGCTAAAGAGCCCGAGGGATCTTTGGGGAAACCGCCGCAGCCCACATTCATTTCTAACACAAGGCTCCTAAGGGCAAGCTTTCAAAGAGCCAAAGAGGAAAGCCCTGGGATCTGGTTCCCACGCAGCTGCACTAAATCATGGTTTGTTGACTCAATCACAGCAGGCTGGGCTAGGCCGGCCACCACGGTGGACAACTACGCTGGCTGGATTCACACGTTCAAGCCAACCATCTTTCGATTTAGACCCTGGCCAGATCCCGAGCAGCGGTGGAATGGCCCAAGCTAGTTTTAAACGCTCCGAGCAAGTTCGCCCAAAGAGGAGAAGAAAGGCGCGCTTTCGCCCTCGCCC